TAGGGGAGGGTGGGGCAAAACGGCCCCCCTTCAATTGTCAATAACTTGTGAATGACATTGTGAAAATTCCCAGTTTCAACTTCATTTTAAAGATAATTTTTCATTCTTCAAAACGAGCTCTAACTCATCCCAATCGGATTATTGAATCGGAAAATATTGATGATTGAAGGGGGGCCGTTTTGCCCCATCCTCCCCTACTTTGGCCATCTTTTCTCCAGTGAAATGCTTTTCTACTTTTGTATTATGACATTTTACAATAATTTTGTTATTTAAATCATTGTTTTATAATGATTTTGTTATTTAAACTTGGCAAGTCTACATTTTAATCGCGATATTGAAACGTTAGAAAACATTTTAAAAGTCTAAAAAAATTAGAAAGTTTATATAATTGTTCCACAAATTTTAGTTATCAGAAATAAATAAAAAATTGCAATTTTCCGCCATAAAATTCATTTGTTCGAAATCATTACAAATTTATTCATGTTATCGTTCAATAAGGTTTCTGGAAATTGAAACAAATTTAGTTATTTACTTATGAACAACTAATGTTTCAAATAATAACAGTTCTCTGCAAAATTAATGTATTTAAACGACACTGAATATTCAAGATTTTTTTGAAATTTTTCTCATGCAATTCAATTGACAAATTTGATGATTGAAACTGGTTGAGCCTGTAGTGTGGTCTGAATATCCTTAAGAAGTTGTCTTTTACGCTATCTGAAGTGTATTTTACGCTTGAAATTGGAGTGTAAATTACTCTCAAAATCATCGTAAATTTCGATTACATAAACGTAATTTACGATTCCATATTCGTAAATTACGATGATTTTTTCCGTACTTCGCGTTTAGTTATCCGTAATTCACAACGAAGGAAAAAAAAGCTGTCTAACCCGTAAAATACGATGTTTTTTAGTAACTTAACTATAAAGTTAAGACATTTTTGAAACCATAAAATTTTAACCATAAAGTAAAAGACATTTTTGGGAAGTAATTTAAGTTTTTATTTTGACCGTAAAAAAACCTTTTTGAAGCTTAAATTCCGATTTTCATGGCGCAAAGTCTCCACCAGCCATCATATTGGTTAAGCATAAATTATGCGTAGTAAAACGTAATTTACATTTAGGTTTTTCTGTGTGTGAGATCTGCCTCAATATTAAACATGAAAACACAATCAGTCGTGTATGAACAGTTTGAGCCCCATTAAATTTCGAGTTAACGCTGAAAATAGGCATATTACAGCTGAATATGATGTACCTGAATAAAGTTTTCAAATTCTCCGGCAATTCCGTTCGCCCAGCATACCCCGGATTCATCGTAATGAACATTCCAACGGTATTAACAATATTCAATTCCTCCGCAAAAAACAAAAATTTTCTCTTTCGGCTTTTAATTCCATCGAGCACGCACTTGACTTGCACAGCAACAACAGACAATACTTCCACCGATATCCTGTTGAACTCGTCGAAGCATCCCCACGCGCCAGTTTGCGCGAGGCCCTTGTAAATGTTTCCGCAGGACTGGAAAATTCGCCACGCGGAGGCAAAAGTTAAGCAAAAATCAGGGATAAACATACACCAAAAAAAGCTTTATTTTGAGACTTTCAAAGTTTTAAATTAAAAGGTTTCACCAAAGTCTCAAGTTGAGACTTTCGAAACTCTCAACTTGAGAATTTCAAGCTTCGAATTAGGCATGTCCAGCCAAAACCCACATTATTCACCATAATTTTAATATTGTCTCATATGCCAGGTTCATATTTGAGCCGCACGTTAGTAATAATCTTAATCCTCCCATCGGGTCATCCTAGTGAGAAATTCATTTCTGAAAATCACTTCTTGTAACATTATGCTTAGGGAAGAAACGTGACCGTGTGAACTTTGATCGAGATGTTGCATGGGTTAGACACTCAAGATATTGAAAAAAAACCGCAAGCCATTTACTTTAGACTATGGAGAATCTATCGCCGGCGAGAACAAGTAGGGGACCGNGTTAGACACTCAAGATATTGAAAAAAAACCACAAGCCATTTACTTTAGACTATGGAGAATCTATCGCCGGCGAGAACAAGTAGGGGACCGGGCCATATAGGCGTGATATCTTCGATTGATTTTCGAATTCCTCTAAAAAAAATTTGACCGCCATTACGAGTCGAGCAAGGCGACAACACCGCACAACAGCTGATCGAGGTCGGTCAAGTCGGTGACGATAATTCAGTGCTGGAAGCATATGGACACGTATAACACACACAAACATTCATCTCACTGTTACAACCCCACTACTAGCCGAAGCGTGCGATGTTGCCCGATCAAAATTCGACTGTTACCACTGCAGTCACAAGTCCTCCATTATCTATGAACATTTTCTTTAACTATTATTTTTGAGACCGGAAAAGTACCCCATAACACTTCTAATTTGATGAGAAAAATAATTTCCAACATGAATGATTCATTTAGTCAATTTCATTTTTCTTTTCGACTGAGTTGTCCACTCGATAAGTTAAAGCCTTTTGCCTCATTTTAAGACCTTTGAAATCCTAAAATAAGGTGTTATTTATTTGAGTGTATAAAATCCATAGAGATTTTACTCTATATCTACGGAATAAACGTAGAAGAAATGTTGAATTTTCTTCGCTTGCTAAAAAAAGTCAAAAGTTATCCAAAATTTAATTCACGCACATAACTTCCCTTGATAATCAGCACAAGACGTATTCATCGGTATTTTAATCCGAATAACAACTCACTTTGTAATCCATTTGCTCCGAGCAGTTGAATACATAAACCATTTGACCCAGCGCACGCCCCAAATCTTTGGTAGTCTCTGTTTTCCCTGTTCCGGCGGGCCCTGCTGGCGCTCCACCCATTACTAAATGCAAGGATTGAGTGAGGGTGATGTAACATCTGTCTGTCAGCGGTGTTATTACTAAACGTGGAACATTCCCTAAGTACTCGTAGGCGTATGCAAAACTTGCGTCGCAGATATTGGCAAAACAGTCGCCAAGTTTATCGTCCCATCTAAAGAAAACACACCGTAAAAACAACAATTTTGAGGGAAATTTACATACATTTTTTGGCATATCCACAGCTGAGGCTATTTTAATCATGATCTGCATGCGATGTGAACTCTTGTTAATTAAAAAACCATTTTATTTTCGGAAGTAATTTCATTTCAGGATGAGATTGATTATTCAAGAGGGAATTGCTTTGGGTGAATGCAATAGAGAAAAGCATCACGAGTGAAAAAATTAATAGATGAACCTAGGTTTTCTCTAAAAATTTCTATTGAATGATTGAATTTTCAAAACCTATTAAGGGGAGGTTTACCTCGAAATAAATTTTACGTTTTTCGAGAAAGAAAAAAATTTAAAATACTATTCTCCGCATGATTTTTTTAAATTGAAAAGTCACCTTGATAAAAATCTCCAAATGTATTTTTTATAGTTTTCTGAATATGATCTGAAATTGTTGCTCCTTAATTATAAAAAATGAGAGAGAATATAAGTTTTGAAATTTCAATCTTCTATAAAATCTATAAAATGTATTGTATCTATAGAATTCTTTTCTATAGAAAATCTTGGATGTAAGTTTTTTCCACTACATTTTTAATTGCTCCTTGTAATAAATTTCAAGGACAAATACTTGGAAGAATCACGCCCGAGAATTCTTGAAGAGAAAATCCCAAACGAATAAGTCATGTAGAAAAATCCACATCTATAGATTATCTATAAATCAACATTTATAGATTATTAGTTCATTTTTCTATAAACAAATATCTATCAAAAATGGAGAGGGACGTTACATAAAACATTTTAAAAATCTGAAAAAAAATTAAAAAATTTATTCTTCAGAGGAAAATTGCTGAAATAATTAAAAAAATACAATTTTCGAAGATGACGAGCCTTTTCCATAAATAATTTATATGCAATCAGGTGTTCAAAAGCATAAACAATTTCGATTATTTATTCATGAACAACAAATGTTAAAAAAAATAATTCTGTGTAAAATTGATGTAATTTAAACGACACTGAATATTGGTGATTTTTTTAAAAATTTTCTTACGCAATTAAATTGACAAATTTGCTGATTGAGAATGATTGAATCAATATCGTGGTCTATACCAAACTGCAAAAGATACTTCGATGTTCTTAAATGTAACCCACACTGATACAACGATTCATTTATGCCAGAGAGTAATTAACAATTAACGAATAATAGAGTTAAATATGACCAAATAAATATTCGTTAATAATTAACGAAAGGTTCATTTGAAAGGTGAAAGTCGAGTCAAGCAAGCCTCCCCAAATGTGCATTTATTAACTATGTATTAACGAATGAACATTTGATGAAACCGAAGGGACCTCTTCTCCAACCAAATCCATTCGTTAACAATAACTAATCCTCTCCATCAGTGCAAAAATGTGACAAACCTGTGCCTGAGTTGTGACTGCCACTGAAAGCTCGAGGAGCTCTCCGCCCTCATCGAAATCAACTTAGCCACAACGTCCCTGGCATGCACATCAATAGTGCATATCGTCATAATTTTTTGCCTATCATTCTCACTCAATTCCCCACAGAGAATAGTAATGAGCACATTGAGTTGATTAATCTGCTTCTTCTGGTAATCTTTCAGCGAGTTTTCAAAGCCCTCCTCTAATCTTGCGAAAGCCATATTCACCTCAGTGGTCCACCAAATTTGTGTACCACAGAGTGCTGGCTGTGCTTGATAATCCATTATCCAAAGTTCACGAGGTTTTTCATCGTACGTGGCAACAGCTTGGCTAAAGTGATAACGTACACTTCTTCGCATAGCATCAGTAACACGATTCAACCATACCTCCACTTTTCCACTACAGTCGCAGGCTCCATACATATCCATTTCCTCGCCATCTTTCGCGATCATTACGTTGGCGATCCTTGAGGATTTTCCACTCTCTATTTTCCATTTTAAATTTGCGATGGAGTCGTATAATTTGGATAGGTGTTTGCAGACTAATTCGGGATTATTTCCTGAAATATAGCGTCAGGTGTTGAGAGAATCAATTACACGGAGAGACATATTCAAGAAAAATTACGGAACATTTCACGTAATCCGCAAGCGAGAATCGTTTTCAGGGAATTTCTATAGGAATATAAGAGAATAAATCTGAAACGTTCAGTAAAATTTCGGGTCTGTCACCGAAAAAATACGAAAAAGTCACGTAATTTTTCTGGAAGTTGTAACATCTAACAGAAACTTCAAGACTTATTATGCCTCAGAACATGAAAATTCTGGGATGTTTAAGAATTTTTACAAAAAGTTCCGGAAAAATTACGGAACGTGTTGTTAAAATCTCATCCTCACGGTGACTCATGGCTAGCCGTGAGGCGTCGGACGGATGAGTAATTTTCACGGAACAGATCGTAGAATTTACGTGACGATTGACACTTTTTATTGAATTTTACTTCGCTCCCAGATTACCTTTCGAAACTTTTTCGACTTTTTCGTCTTTTTTCTGGTAATTTTTATTGACTATTTCTCTCCGTGTACCACTGCTGAGATTTTCATCCATTTTATTTTAGATTTAACTCATGCATTGCTGAGAATATCTCAGATTAATCATTTAAGGCATATCCCGAGACAATAGCACACAAGTTAGTCAGTACTGTGGATTTCCAGAAAAAATTCTAAATGACTTAATTTATTGCGATCTCATAAGTTGCTGAGTTTTTTTTCTCTCGTATACACTTTCTGGTTTTTACGATTTGTTCCCTTTCCACCCACGAACCCCTGTACCGCATTCGCCGAAGGACAAGGGAAAACCTCATTTGGAAAACCTCATGAGGTTCTGTATCGCCGATCGTGGAACAAATATGGATTCATCCAACTCAATAGCAAAACGGTGAACAGGGTTAAATCGATTTTTAAGTATCGGCCGGTTTTTGATGAATATCTCGAAATCTAAAAGAGATGCAAAAATTTTTGTCATGACCTTTTTTGTGGAGCCAATTGAGGGTTATAAAAAAGGTCATGAGAAATATTTTGCTAATTCTCTTGGATTCCGAGATATTCATCAAAAACTGACCAAAAGTCAAAATCAACTTGACCCGGTTTACCGCTTCGCTACTGAACTAATTTACCGTTGTCGAGAATATCTGCGATCAATCATTTCTTTCGATATTTTCATACAGACTAATTCACGATAGTTTCCAAAAATAAAAAGTAGGGTGTCGAAACGATCCATTACATCGTTTCTGGGAATATCCAGGATGAATAATTTGACGATATTTTTGCGCAGTAACAAAATTTTATTTTGTAAAAAACGTCGTGAGAGATTTGAAAATTTTGTAAAAACGTCGTGAGAAATTTGAAAAGGATTAATTATTATGAAATTGTAATATTCATTGTTGGGGATAAATTTGTCAGCTTTGTAAAATTCTCAGTTAAGTATCGGAATGAACAAAAATAATCTGCCAATCAATTGTGACCGAAAATGCAATAATTCCGCTAATTATGAACTATTTAGTCGATATCCCCGACCGCATGGCTAAATGAAAGCATTCTGCGATGAATTCCTAAAATTGTCCAACTGTGGAATAAATTTACTCCAGACATAAATTTATTCTCATGATTTATTTGGTTCGCAGGGCTTGACGCAACCGGTGATGATAAAAAATGCTTCCAAATTACGAGAATTTAAACGATTACTCCTCTGAAATTTGAATGCATCCAAAATTAAAATTGATGGGATGTCTTCTGAATTTTTGATGGAATCGTACAATTTAGAGAAGCGCTTGCGGACTAGTTAGCGATTATTTCCAGAAATAAAATGTGGAGTGTCGGGACAATCCATTACTCCATTGCTGGGAATATCCGAGATCAATAGTTTTACAATATTTTTGTAGTCTAATTTTGATTCAAGCCAAGCAACTGCACGCTTTGGTTACGTTTGGAAGAGAATTCTTGAGACATTTGAGAAGCTTTGTTAAAAAATCATGAGCAATATCTCGAATCGAAGATGAGGAAGTAAGACGATTTTCATGAAGCCCGCCTAACACAGAAGAGAATTGAATACCATTCTATGAAACATGAATAAACGAATTATAATTGCCCAAATCATTTAGGTCAGAGGAAAATAGAATAATTCTACTTTCTTAATATTGCGTTTACTAAGGTTTTCTTCGAACCAAGTTGATTAGAATTAATCGCTGCAATTATGAGATTATCTCACATTCTTGACGTTAAGGATAGGAGAATCTGAATGCAATATAGTGAAAATGATGATCGATTGTTTAACTTGGAACGAATAATGTTAATATCCAAATACAAAAATTCTGATATGAATAAAAATAAGCTGTGGCTCAATATTCCAAATGAAGTTTTAATTTTTAATTTGGTGCTGAAAAAAAGAGATGACAATATCCTAAGCACGGAATTATATTGATGAGATGAACAACAGATTAATTGAATTACCGTGTGAACTATGTATGAACAAACGTTGAATTCCAGAAATTCACACTCTAAAGTTCTAGAAGGAATTGAATTGAAATTATAATTAAAATCTTATTCAGTGAGCATACACGCATGAAAAAATTCACTAAAAAACCTAGCGAATTCGCTAGAAAATTCTATTGGAATTCTACTAAAATTCTATTAAAAAATTATATTGTTTTTTGCGCTGATTCTATTGGATATTCGATAACAAAAAGTCAATAGATTGCGAATTTCTATTTTAAATTTTCGTTGTTGCGAAATACAACAAAATCCAGTGGAAAAAGCTTAGAAAATTAGTGCCCAATAATTGGTAATAGAAAAAATTTCAAGAGAAAAATTCCACCAGAAATTCTAAATCTATTGACTTTTTCGTATCGAATATCCATTAGAATCATCGCAAAAAACAAATAAAATTTTTAAGAGAATTCTAATAGAAATTCTATAGAAATCCCCATAGAATTCTTATAAAATTCCAATAGAATTTTCTAGCGAATTCGCTAGGTTTCCTATTGATTTTTTTCATACGTGTAGAAATCAGAACATGAATAAATCATTTATTGAAATATGAAAATTCAACTGCTGATAAATTGGGACATACGATTCTCATCGGTCGTATTGCTTTTTGCAACGAGAATAATTACCAAAGGAATCAACAATTTCGGTATTCGTTGTCATAAAAAAATCTGTCAATCAAAAAAAGAATTGAATTTAATTTCATAATGACGAAAATGCTAGCAAATTACGAAGGTTCATACGATTATCCCCTGGAAATTTAAATCCGTGCACAATCGAAGTTGATGTGATGGTTTCTAAATTGTTGATGCAATTGTATAATTTGGATAAGTGCCGTCTAATAACGTTAGGCGCCGCCCATCGTGGAAAATATTTTGATTCATTCAATTTACCATTGCTGAGAATATCCAAGAGATCTGCAGGGGATATGAAGTAAAATCTGGGGTAAGCTAATCTCTTAGTATCCAAATAATTCGATAGTGCCTTTTCGCAAAGATTCAATTGTCTCTGCAGCTCCTCCAGCTTCTCCAGGAGATTCGGCTTATTGGTAGCCTTAACGATATTCGGTGTTGCCAGCATCTCCTTGAGTATATCCTGAAATAATTCAATTTACAGCGATGTAATATCACACTCGGGGGTGGATGATACAACGAGTTACTTTGAAATCACGATCTATCTTCTCGAAACGTTTGGAATCCTCGGGGAGTTGATTTCGTATGTCCTCGGATCCAATGAAAATACTTTCTAGGTGCATCCAAGCACGTTGCACTTCAAACCAGATATTGATTACGGCATCGGCGTTGCTCAGCTTGTGCTGCCAATCTGTTACTGTAGTTATGAAGTAACCGACGAATCTTGAGCCCAACATATTTTGCAATTGCACCTGACAATTTTCGGTGTTAATGAAAAGTGTTTTCTTTATTATTAAAAATATCAACAAAAACAATTGTGAATTCGGTAGGAAATTCTGTTGGACTTCCATTCAACTTTCTATTAGTTCTTGGCCGATTCTATTGAAAATTTCCGGAGCTTATTCGTCCGTTTTTTATGGGAATGTTCAATGGAAAATATTCTACAGGAAGGGAATTAATAGAATTCGATTTTTTACACAACTCATTACTTTTGAGATATTTTTATAAGGGAGAGTGGGGTAGAACGGCCACTTTTGACTTTTTTTGTGATACTCATAACTTAGAAAGAAATTCATTGATTGAGATCAGTCTGGGCTCGTTCTAAAGGGGATGAAGTGTAGTTTCCGTGGAAAAAAAATTATTTCATTTAATTTTAAAATTGAATGAGCTGTTAACATTTCTGAAAAAATCAAAAAGGCCCGTTTTACTCCACTCTCCCCTAGAAAATATCTAGACAGAATTTCTATAGATATTCCTATTTTTATCTATAAAAAAATAATAATTTACGATAATATATTATATTTCGTATTTTTAACTTCTATTTTCCTTTTTTTGTTTATAAAAATCCAATACAAATTTGATAAAAATAGGAAAATAGAAATTCTTCAGCTCAAATTTATAATAGATTTTTAAAAATGAAAAGTGAAGAAAAATAAAGTGGAAAAATTTGCATAAATCATATTGAGGAATTCCTGTAGAAAATGTCTTAATAGAAAAAGTTGGATACAACAATGAAATTCAACTGATTAAGAAACCAAACAAATTGCAATAAAAATTTTCTATCGACTTCGTTGGATTTTTCTATAACATTTTTTCGCGCATGGTGGCACTTCCACCGAAATTTCAATCAATTGACATAAAAAAATCGCAAATTAGGGCAATTCAGGTGAATATATTCTTAAAACTATTAAATTTTCGTTATTTTTCTATTTATAACTTTATGAATTGTCGTGAAATTTCAGCAGAACTAATGAAATTCCAAAAAATCCTTTGGATTCTCTCCCAAAAATGTTTTAATAATTTACTTGATGGTCTTCCAATATTTCAACAGTTTCTTCATCAATTTTCAAAAGATTCAATTTCGTTCTCTCATGATACTCTTTGCTGAACTCGAGGCTGGTCCAAGTGTTCGTCAATTCTCTCAGGGTTTTCTCCATTGCCATCTCTTTGACTGCTTTGTCAACAGTATTTTTAACTTCCTCTTCGTACTTATGGAGCTCAAGTTTCAGGAGATCATCCAGAGTCGTCCTGTCGTCCATCGTGAATTTCACCTATTCGAAAAATTATGATTCACTTGAATCGAAAATTACTTCCATTTGATGTTGTTTACATGTGTCTCAGCCATCAGCTGCTGCCAGTGCCGTTCCCTAATCGCAGGATTCTGTAGTTCCGATACAGCTCTCAATGACGACATCATATTTCTAACTTGGCTCTCGATATAACCGTACAATTCCCAACTTCTACTGTCTTTATCCAACACTATGGCGTAAAATTAACGACACTCATTAGTCACCCACTGTCAGGAAATAACTCTTAAAATTGAGGATCTTAAAATTTTTAATGACTACACGCACGAAAACAATTAATAGATGAACCTCACGAATTCGCTGGACAATTCTATTGGTTTTTTATTCAAATTTCTATTCATTTTTGGCAAATTCTATTGAAATGTTCAACAGAAAATATTCTGTAGAAAAAGTCAAGAGAATTCTTTTTTTCTATACAACTTATTTTGTTGAGTTCGGTGATGAGTAAATTTAGATTTATTAATACTTGAGTACACAAGTACTTAATACTTGCGAAATTATTAAGTACAAAGTCGATAAGTACTTAGGAATTGATTCATCTCCTAAGTTTGAATAAATTAAGTACTTAGTACTTGGGGCAGTTTAAGTACAAAGTACATTAAGTACCAAGTACTTAAATCAGTTCAAGTACTAAGTACTTCGTGTACTTGCAATAGATTTAGACGATGGATTGATATCGATGTTGACTAGATATTTAGTACTAAACCAATTGACTTCTTGGCTACTTAGTACTTCGATAGTTTAAAGTATTAATTCCCTGGGTTACTTAGTACTTAGAGCAGTTTAAATACCAAGTACATAAAGTACTAATGCTTCGAATAATTCATGTACTAAGTACTTCATGTACTTAGACTTGGAAGATAAATTAATATCCAAATAGACTAAATATTTAGTACTTGAAAAGAGTGTAAGTACAAAGTCCTAAGTACTATTGAGTACTAAACCAATTTACTTCTTAATCCTCAGACCATTTTAAGGAATAAATCCGTTGACTAATTAGTGCTTAGATAATTTTGACTACTAAATTCCTTGGCTACTTAGTACTTGAATAGTTTTAAGCACTAAGAAAACAAGTACTAGTACTTCGTGTACTCAAACTTAGAAGGATTAATTTCTAAGTGGAGTAAATATTTAGCACTTGGACAGTTTAAAGTACTGAATACTTTGGCGACTTAGTACTTGAATAGTTTTAAGAACTAAATTTTTTACCGACTTAGTACTGAATGGCGACTTAGTACTTCACTTAGAGATTCAAGTACTAATGTACTCCGTAGTGACCATCACCGATTGACATATTTTCTATCGAATTTCATCGGCTCAAATTTTCTCATTTTTTACATTCCATTGGTCTTTTTGTTTCATCAAGAAAATCAAACACAAAAACTTACAAAATTTCAGTTGAATAAATTCTATAGAAAATATCTCAATAGAATGAGTTACATAAAAAAAAGGAATTCTATTCATTTTTTCCATAAAATAGTTTCTAGTGGAGATTCTCTGTATGAATGCGTGGTAGAGCTTTGAAGTCTTCAATAGAATCAGCCAAAAAATGATGACATTTTCTATCGAGTTCCACAATTCCACAATTCTTTTTCCAATTTTCCATAAACAATTGATAAAACAATCAATTTGTCACTCAGTAAGTTTTTGTCAAACGTAAATGATTCATGAATTTTAAAAATGAACTTTTAAAAATCTTTGAATCAACACTGTGTCCCTTACGAAAGTGTAAAAGGTACTTGGGCATCGTTAAATTTCTAAACAAAATTCTGAAAGTGTATGAACGCAGGGGCTCACGTCTCAATTCGCGCGTTAACTTTTTGCACTCCTGATCCATCCCCTCGACATCCATCTTCTTCCACAACGTCATTTTCCATTCATCCAAACTCGTTTCAATGACGATGACATAGTCCCACAGGCATTTCAATAGCTTCAATTCTCGACGTGCCTCTTTAATGCTTTTGAACTCTTGGCCCGGTAGCTCGAATATCTGAGTGGTTTCCGTCAACGTTTTTAATTCATCCTCGAGCATTGAAATCTCGGAATTTACGGAATCGAGTTTCTCATAAACATCTTTGCAGCCAGAACTGGAAGCAATGAGATTTCCATTTATACGAAATGTTTGCTCGCCCACTGTATTATTCTTGCTATAATTACTTGAATAACTCATTCCGGCGGAATTTATTGAGGTACTGTTGCTGCCGGTAGTCGAAAAAATTCAGTCGTTTCTTCACGAGATCCACTTGATGGTCGAGGAGTGGGGAGACCACTTGCTTCATCTGCGCGGCCAACTTCTTTACATTCGTCCACAATTCCGGTAATGTCGTCAACCAATTGAATGTCTCATCCTCGAATTCTACTTGATAGTCGCTAAGTAGATTGATGGTCTCCTTTTATACAGAGAGAAAGAAAAATTCCAATTTTCAATCACTCGTTTCGAGTCAGAAAGCCTCTTAAGGTGTTTCGTGTGTAGATCGCGGGGTGAAACGGAAGAGAAGTCTTATTGTTCCCGAGCCCTGATTCAATCGCTGAGCACGAAATCTCCTACTTTTCGAGTAACTATTCAAGTGTGGATTTGAACATTTTTTAAATATTGATTTTACATGGACGAAAAAATTTAATAAAAAACATATCGAATTCGTTAGAAAATTGTATTGAATTCAATTTTTCTATATAACTTATTCGATTGAGATATTTTCTATAGAATTTCCTCGGCTCAAATTTCCCAAGTGTTTTCGTTTGATTTTCTTGATGAGAAGAAGAGAAAAATAGAATGAAAAAAACGTAGAAAATTTGAGTCGAGCAAATTCTCTAGAAAATATATGAAAAGAATAAGTTACATAGAAAAATCGAATTCAGTTGACTTTTTCTATTGAATGTTTTCTTGAATTACCCGAATACTCAAGAAATTAACTGATTTGTCAATGAAGAGATAAATAAATAAATAATAAATGTCAAGCTTTTTATCTTCAAATGTCCAGAAATTTCTAACAGCGGATGGTTTTGACTACCTTGAGTGGACCGAACATGTCATCAATTTTATACTGCCTATCCCTCACTTCCTTCAAATAATATATTGTCTGCAGTAGCCCATCGTAATCGTCCTCCAGAACGGGCTGTGTAAATCGATCACTAGCAGCATGCAGAAAATCCGCCAACTCCATTAAACTGCAACAAGACAGTGATTTTAAATATTCAAAGGACCCAAGAAATGCCTCGAGTATTGACGGCGCACGAGAATAGAGTGGCTCCTGATACCTCGTATTCACCGAGTTCACGAGATGCATTTTTAGAACGTACGCCCACTTGCAGATTATATTCAATAAAGCTTGTTTAAACGGTTTTGTATCGATCCTCAGCCACTTGAACAGTATCTTCTCATTCTCAATTTCATCGCATTTCTTGTAGTAGTCCATGAAGTAATCAATTTCTCTCTTGAAGTCGGATAATTCTGGCCTTTTCTCCTTGAGGGTTTCGGGAAAATTCTCGGGGGATTGACTCGCTAATTCTTTCTCTTCGTCACTGAGGCTTTTCGCGAAACGCAGGAAATTATTCAGATACTCCTGTCTGTCGTCCAGCCACAGCCAACAATACTGCTCGTACGTCTTCATTTCGTTGGGGTAATTTAGTAACAATGAGTAAGGGGACATATTTGTCTTAATTAGACCTTCGTTAGACCTCGGGGACTCGTGAAACTTACCTGCCCGTACTCTTGGGCCTGAACCAGCGCCTGCTTAACTCTGTTACAAGTCTCCTCCAGCATAAATACTATCCTCGAATCCTCCGTCAGATCGATCTTTTTAGTAGGGCGGAGGGGGGAGGGGGTAAGGGGAGAAAAAATGGCAATTAGTTACTCAACCAGGCGGAGGAGCTGCCGTACACTTCCCCATACGATGCCTTACCCCATAATTTTCTCGTTCCAACACCTTCTCCGGGTCTAAACGAGGAATTAATGTTCCCATTTTCATCATATCGAACATCAAATCCTCGTAAAATAGGTAGAATCCTTTTGGATCGTTTATTTGCGCTGGGGTACGAAAAACAATATCCGGGGGGTCCAAGGAAAGCTGCAATTCGAAGAGCGGAGAGATTGGGGCTTCGGGGTCTGTGTCGTCCAGGATGTAGCAGATACTGGGGAATTGGTGGTGGAAACAATTTTTGTTTTTCAATTTTAAGTGAAGGAGAAGTAAAGTGCACGGAGAGAAATATTCAGTAAAAATTACGGAACAATTCACGTAACCCGCTGTGGGGAATCCTTTTCCGGCAATTTTTATAGGATTGGAAGAGAAGAAATCTGAAACGTTCTGTGAATTCTCAGTTCATCACCCAACAAAGTACGAAATTGTCACGTAATTTTTCCCGAAGAAGTAAAATCTTACAGAAACTTGCCGACTTATTGTGCCTCCAAAATAAAAAATTCTTGAACGTTCAACAATTTTTATGAAACTGGTGAGTTATTTGTACGTTCCGTTCCGTAAAATTTCTCAATCGTTGGGGAAAAATTACGGAACGACTTGTTGTCCCCACAGCGGTGAGTCATCAGACGGGTGGTTAATTTTTACGGAACAAATCGTAGAATTTACGTGGCGATTCGTACAATTTCAGTTCCGACTCATACTTTTTATTGAATTTTACTTCGTTCGCGGATTATGTTTCGAAACGTAATTTTTACGTTTTTTTCTGGTCATTTTTATTGAAATTTTCTCTCCGTGTACTTTATGATTGAAAGAATCAGGAAATTTAATCCGAAATTGACGAAATGTACCACTTATTTTTAATTAGAGGTCCTCAATCATCAGTTGACGAATTTGAAGAATTTCTCATGAAACGAGAAATATCGTATTTTTTATTGACATCGAGAGCGAAAAATGAATCAACACATTTCATGTTGAGATTCTTTTTTCAAGGATAGAATATAATACTGAATATTGAATATTCAAGTGAGAGGTGATAGGTTGATGGATTAAATAAAACCTTAGGAGACATGATAAAATCACCATTTATTATTCAATGTTAAGGAAAACTTTATTTTTAATTTTTGGATAATAGGAGAAAACAGGAAAAATAGGAACAATATAAATGACTTCGAAAGAATCGGGTTATTTAATCCGAAGTTGAAGAAATATATTAATTATTTTTGTTTAGAAATTTTCAATCATCACTTGATAAACATGGAAAATTTTTCACGAAATGCGAAGATCTCGATTTTATTAAAATCGAGTGGGGAAAATTAATCAATAAATTGCCTGTTAAAATTCTTTTTCCTGAGATGGTATATAAACTCAATATTGAATATTCAATCAAAGGATGACAGGTTGATGAATTGAATAAAACGTTATAATTCACGATGAAATCACTATTCATTATTATCTTTCAACAGAAACTTGAATAAAAACAGATATCGGTCAAGACCCTTGTTCTTCCAAAAATCCAACGCATTTTAATTCAGAAAGAATTTTTTTCAAAGAAGAAATATCAAGTTTTTTATTGGAATGAAATGAAAAAAAAAATCAATAAATTTCACCCATAATTCCATTCCCCTATTAAAATGTAACACCGAACATTCAACATTAATTTCTCAATTTGATTATAAAACTCGAGGGCATTTTAATTGGGAGCTCAATGGATTTTCCATAAAAGTTTTTCAAATTTAATTAAAAAATCTGAGTGTATTTGATATTCCTCTCTACTCGGGCTAATGAAATGCCCGGTTATGATATTAAAAAAATACTGGGTTAAAATAGATCAGATAAATTCGGTACCTCGTCGAGACTGCTTGCACTAAGCCCTGAGATACCAACTGATCAATATAAGCAAGGTAAGGTTTCCACTTGACCTGTCGTGGTGCTTCAAGTTCCATTTCTTTTTCATCTTTCTCCCGCTTTCTCAGTTCCTCTGACGGGGTCATTTCCACGTTCACTGGAAGCGTTTCTGTTTCTCCATCATCACCTTCGCCAAAGCCGGCGTCTACGTCAGTCTCGCTACTGCGAGAGGAAATTGTGAAGTATTATATTTTATTCGATTGGTGTTTTCAGTTCCAATTGTCGATAAGGAAATGAAAGAGAAGGTTTGATAATCTTACATTTTTGGCGACTGCACTCAAAAAATAATACTTTATTCTGAGATTTCAAAGGTCTTGAAATAATATTTTTAAAAGTCTTAATTTGAACATTTTGTTAACTGTCTGACTCGAAATCTTATCCCCACTACCCATGCGCACGTTTGAATACATGAGTCCGAAATATAGGGGAGGTTGGGGTAAAACGGACACTTTTCACTTTTTTTAAATGTTAATGAGAGGTTGAAATGTTGATAAAATTTAATAATTTTTTTTTAATACAAAGAACAATGATTTCCCTTTATGACGAGCCTAAACTGAGCTCAAGTGAGAAATCTGTTTCTGAGTTATTAACAAATAAAAAAAAGTCTAAAGTGCCCATTTTACCTCACCCTCCTCTGAAAATTTTTAAAAGGAATTTATTGGTCGGCAGGATGAACCAAATTTAAGGAAGAAAAGAAGCAATTTGAAATAACACATCTCATTGCTGTCAATCTCCAAATCATGAACAGGACCTCGATTGTCAACAAATGGTTGCACTGGACAATTTTCAATATTTGAAGACCATTTTCGTTCTAGTTATTCATCAATTTTTTTCTTTTTCTTTGCTGAAAAATCATCTGGATTCATTTCACAATTTGAAGGTGTCTTTCTTTATTTCACGTAATTACCAGGACTTCCACAAACAGTTTTCAATAAACTTTCATACTTTTTTCTTTTTTTAGGCACTGACTCTTTATCCCTGACATTTTTTCTTTTTTTATCTCTTCTTATTTGCTGTCTATCTATCAAAACTTCTATTACGTATTACGCGAGAATATGCAGAGGGCCCCAATAGCTTTGCAATACTTGCAACGGTCCTGACGCGACAGGAGTGAGGGAACAGTAACGTGACCATTTCTCACTAACACATCACTCGGCGCGATTCGAGCAATTTTTTCTGGGAGAATGTTTCTGCAGTATTTATAGACTAGATCAAGAGTATTTTGAGAGCCTCAAGACCTAAGGGCAAAATTCCCCAGGGAAAAATTTTCCAGGGGTAAATTTTCCGGGTTTTTGTACCGGAAAAAAACCGGAAACCACTGAATTCTCCCCTGAAAAATCGTCCTTTTACGTACATCGAACGGACCGTTCCATCAAAGTTCTCAGCAGCTCCCGCATCAAACTCGTCGGCCTCCAGCTCTGAGGCAGCCCCATCAGACTCCTCCCTGGCATAAAACTCCTCCGGCATCAGGTCAAAATAAAGCTTATAATTCTCCTCCAAAACCCTGACAACTTCCTCCCCAAACGCTTGAATGTCCTGATATCTCTTATCGAACCTGGCCTCCCGCTCCCCAATAGCTAGCAAATTCTCCGGTTTCCCGTCTTTCCGCGTGAGCACCGGAGCCATAGCCCACTCGTACATCATCTTCATCAATTTTTCAACATTCTCCTGTGCCCTAATAACCCGTGAATGCAAGTTCCGCACGGAATTCAACAGCTCCTTCACGTAATCCGGAGTTTCTGTAACAAAATCCCGCACCTTTTATTGATGGATCCACCCCCCGAACATCGAAGCGTACCCGGTGAATTCCAATTGTAATTGATCTGGCCATCGTCAATCATCCCATCGATCACCTCCAGCTCCTCCTCCAACAGCTCCATCTCAACCCTCGAACTTTTTGTCTTAACTTCATTGTACCTGGTATTGATACATCCGAGAGTTATTTAATTTCTAAACCTCACGCTGATAGATGAAGAATGATTTTATCAAACAAGTCTTGTTTAAGGGAAAAATCGCGGGTTAAAAGTGATAAATAAAATAATATTTAGGGCCGATCATTTGGTGACTGCTCTGAGATGAAAAATTTTTGTTGCGGATATGGATTTAGTTGTTGCAAAAATATTTTGTTCTCGGGACAAGCAGAAATGTTATTCAACTGCTTCGCACGGAGAGAAATATTCAATAAAAATTACGTATCTTTTCCATAATTAATAATAGTAATCACATTTCGGGGCGAAATGTGATTGTAGGAAATTTGATGGAACTATCACGGAATTTTTCCAGAGGGTTCCGTAATTTTCATCTGAATTTCCTGTGAAAAATTACGATACCGTCACTTCAATTTTCTGAGTTGATTGCGTAATCGGTGAGGGAATTGTGAGTTCCCTAATTTTTAGTGAACATTTCACTCCGTGCGTTACTACGAAAATTATCATGTTTTCGTGGAAACATTCTGTTTTCTCCACAAGTTAGTCGATTTAACACGCATTGTTGTAAAAAAAATGAAATTTCGTAGACCGTTGGCTACCAATTTTCAGGACAATGACACTGAATGCGATTTAGGGGGAAAAATCGTTAAATTTCAGGTTTCACTAAAAATTCAGTAAAATTTCAGAATTTTAATGGAGATGAGAATTCCTTACTTCATTTGAATTTGAATTTTTCCCCCTAAATCGTATTTACTGTTACTGTCCTGAAAATTCAAGAACATATTTACCAGAATTTTCTGGTTTTCTATTCATTTCCAGAGAACAATGGAACGGAAATTCTGAATTTTCAATGACCAGATTTCCTGAAATTTCAGTGGAATGAAACACGATAAAAAATTCAGATAAAAATTATAATAACACACTGTTGGAAATTTTTTGAAATTTAAGTAACAGATGCATTTGAATTTTCAATAATCAGAACTTGAATTCAATTTCCGACTAAATTCCTCATGAAATTCCTGATTCATCTTGGAAATTCAATAAAATTAAGTGTTTCATTATGAATGATCATTGAATTTTCAATGACTATTTGGATTTTCAACCCGATTGCGAAAATGAAGCAACAGATTGAAAAGTCATCAGAAAAAAAACCTGAATTTTCATGATTTTCAGTACTTTTCATTGTACGAACCTGAGAAATCAAATTTCATCGAATATTCAAGAACATTGACTGATTCATCAATAACAACATCACTGGAAATTCCACGTAAATTGATTGTTGTTAAAAATTTCAAGATTTTTTACTCGAAATTTCAAGAATAATTTTCTAACAGTGCAGTGCGACAAAAGATCTCGTCATGAGAACATAATTTTACAGCAGATCTAATTTTTTCTCTCAGTGAACATCACGGCAATAATTCACTGAGTCATTGACTCCATCATAAACTCCATCACCACATAAATTCCATCCAGCAGCAAATTGCTGATTTATTACCAAAAATCCATCTACTAACTTATGACGAAAGCAATTTCCCACTTGTTCAACTTGCAACGCTTTCGCCCGCAACAAAACTTGTCGGAAAACTTGTTCCTTTCCCCTGAGCACCCCTAACATCCCAGTAATTTACCACGTCGTGATGAGACCGATGTCATAATTATTTTCAAAGAAAAATTGCGTCCTATCGAACAGATCGACAGCAGCCTGGGGCAGCTCGCTCTTCTGCATTATGTACATGTATTTAGTTTCTCTGAGAATGGCATCGAGCTGAGGATCAAAATTAGATTCCAAGGATCGATCATCATTAACAGTGAATAGTGTCTTGGTGAGATTTTCCTCGCAAATTGCGGGCACTCGCTCCGACCACTCCGAGAATATCTCGTCCTCCGCGTTGTTCATAATGGTCTTCAATGAATGTAAAATATCAGAGGTTTTCTCGGTACACTTTTAAGTTGGTTTGCTAGGATTGATCGATGGCGTACCTGAAGTTCCTCGTACTTGGCAGTTATCTCGCGTGCTGATTGACTGACGAGTAGTGGGTGATCTATCAACTTTATGGACTCTACAGGATAATTAGTGCGACGCTTCAACTTCATCAGCCAACATAAAGCTCCAGCTACTGGTGGAAAATATTGATCCACCGGCATGTACCGCGTTTCCTGCTTCATTCTAGTTCCTCGGTCAAATAGAACCTAGAGGGGATTTAGTTGAGGGGAATTTTTTCGAGCTTTGCGAGCTAATTTTACCTTTACGTTGTCTAGACACTCGTGGATTTTTGATAATAGCTCCTCGTAATGATTCAGCAGCTGGGACTGGAGGATTGGTCTCAGGGCGATTGAACCAATCTGCCAGATGAATTTTATTATGCTTTGAATATTGTAGCATTCCGTGAATGATTTGTGGAATACCGTCGCCAGTTTGCGATCGTAGTCACTTATCTGCGGGGGAAGGGTTTATTGTGGGGAGAATGAGATTATTGACGAGAGCTGAGGATCGATTGGTGTATTTGTATACCCAGAAAAATTATTTAGTTTAATTCGATAGAAAGTGTATTTAGAGATGTGCAAGTATCGTTTACAGTTTGGGACGAACCACTATATTAAATTAAATTGGAGGAGTAACATTTTTTTTAAATCATTAATAATTAGCCTCGTTGTTTATGAATAAATAATTGGAATTGTTTAAAATTTCGGAATTTTTTTTAGATCTGAAGCGATTTCTGGTAAAGTTATGAATATGAATGAATTTGTTACGATTCCGAACAAATGATTATTGGAAAATTGGTTGTTTACAAATTATTTATAGAAAATGCTCGCCATTTTTTAATTATTCCATCGAAATTATTCTCATGACTAAATAAGTTGTTATCTCAATCTACACGATCATACGTAGTTCCAAGTAAATTATAAATGAAGTGAGCATTCCGTATGTCGAATCAGGATGAATATTGTTACGCGGAAAAAGCTTTGAGATTATAGTAAGATGTTGAGTTGAAAGAAGTTTATATTTCTTGACTAAAAAAAATCGCATTAGTTTACAATAATAGAATCACAGATTACGGTAATTCAACACAAACTTGGATATCACAAATTTCGTTCAATGTGATGTACGGAAAGCTCAATTTAAACATCGGCTTCATTCGAGAAAACAACGTTCAATTCATTCCTCAATTTAATTACCTCCTAGGGACGAATTAATTTATCAATTCATGAAAGCAGGAAATTTCTCGACTGGAGATTATATTAGGTTTAAAAAAATGCAACTCTTCCATTTTTGTGGTGAATACATGCGACTTGACGTCAAGGACTGTTCTATTTGATTCAAGTAAATATATCTCGAGAAGAAATAATTGATATTGACCGTAAGATCTTATTTACAGTGTTAGAATTTTTTTGAAATTTCAGTCACAATGTCATCTGAATTTCAATGTTGTGAGTTTGCATTCAATTTGGAATGAAAACGTTCACTAAATTTCTCATTCATCTTGAAAATGCAAGAAAATTGGGTTTTTCATGTTAAGAATCATTGATTTTTCAATGAAAGCTTGAATTTCCAAACTCATCGTGAAAATTGAACATCACATACAATTCAATTTTCAATAGATTGAAAGTTCAGAGAAGTTATTGTCTGAATTTTCAAAATTTTCAAGGTTTTTCAGTGCCGTATGGACCTGGAAATCGAGAATTACTAGAATATTCAAGAAATTAACTAATTTGTTAATGAAGAATTCTACAGAAATTTTATGTAACTCTGTCGTTGTTAAAAATTTCAAGTTTTTTCCCTGGAAATTTCAAGCGTAATTTTCTAACAGTGTATTTGAAACTGGAAAAGCAACATCTCAATAAAAATAATGTTTTCTATCAGTGTACAACACAAGTTCTCGGGTCCACATGTGGCAGGAACGCAGTACTTGAGGGTTAAATTACAGAAATAATTGACCTTTTCTAAAAAATCCTCGATAGTCGCTGTAAACTCCTCATTCTCCGGGAGCAGAATATTATCCTGAACGGCTCCCAATTCATTATAACTTTTAACAAAGTCATCATATATCTGGAATACGACCTGACACAACGATTTCCCATTCAAACCACCGATTTCAGTGCGATCAAGTTTCATATAGTCCTGGACAATCTCGAATATACTCTAGAGAACACAGAAAAATAGGGATGATGACATTCAAGGATACGAACTTATGCACGGAGAGAAATGGTCAGTAAAAATTACGGAACTCACAATTCGCTCACGGATTACGAAATCAACTCAGAAAATTTAAGTGACGGTATATCGTAATTTTTCACAGGAGCTCTGGAAAAATTCCGTGACATTTCCGTAAAATTTTCTACAACCACATTTCGCTCCGGAATTACGGAAAAGATACGTAATTTTTATTGAATATTTCCCCCCGTGTGGGAATCAATAATTACTTTAATTTGCTGTAAGCGTGTTTCGTACTTCCAGAGACGTTCAAAAATGAGTTTCTCGTGAAACGTCCAGAGCACGGGCTCCACTTCAGCTTTGAAATAACTGTCAATATTGACTCTGCAATGTTCAACAACATCTCGGAAGTGCTGAATAAGCTCCAACACTGATACGACTTTCTTCAGAGTATCGTTTGCGTCGCCTTCAAAGAGCGACGATGGATCCAGAAATTTTAAAGTCTGAGGGGAATAATCGTCGCTTAAAAATTTAATTAATGCATCGATGTGTCCCAATGGAGAATACGTAACTCATAATAATTTTTATAATGAAAGAATGTTTGAAGAAAACCAATTATTTCACTAGCGGAGCGATGAAACGATTCAAGTCGATTTTGACTATCGGCCAGATCTCAATGAATATCTCGAAATCTAAGGGCGATAGCAAAATTTTTGTTATAACCTTTTTTGTAGAGCGAATTGAGGGCTACAGAAAAGGTCATTACGAAAATTTCGTTATCTCCCTTAGATTCGGAGATATTTCTCGAAAACGAAGCTGAGGACTAAGTCGATTTGAACCGTTTTTCCGCTTTATCGAAATTAAAAAAAGAATTCATTAATACCTGACTGATGATGAGATTAACGACTTCCGACAGCAGAGTAATAATGTGCGTCGTAGTGCAATAATACCTGGAATTAGCCCAAGCGAGACAAATGCAGTGCATGAGAGGTTTGATTTTCAACTGAAATTCCGACAAATCAAGACTCTCCATCGCCTCAAAGTGCGACTGTAACGGCCTCAAGTACAAATAAATGTCTCTCGCTTCGACGACAGCTGGTAATGACAGAAAGCAATGAAGATTAAAAGCCAAGATTAAAAGGTAACTCGGCGACACAAACCCGCAATGATATTCTTGAATAAAATTTCCAAACTGTTGAGATAAGGGCTTTCAGTCACTTGAAGGAGGGAAACCATTTTCTTAACTCTTGGATCTTTCATCTGCTCGTAGATGGATTCAATATTCTTCAACCTCTGATGCCAGAATTCTATCTCTTAAAATCATAAAGAATGGAATGAGAACAAATCGGTTGGAGGGAGGTTCACCCCGGGAAAAAAATTTTTTCGTTTATCGAGAAAAAAAATTTAAAATAGTAGATGATGTCTACTATTTTTCATCACAATTACAATTTTTTATCATCTATTTTTATCACGAAGTCCCATCAAGGGGGGTTGGGTGGGTCGAAAAAGCGGGGTCCAGGGGGCGGAGCCCCCGCTGGGGGGGGGCAAGCCCCTCCACTGACGAATAACCAACTACACAACAGAGAAAAAAAAGAAAACAAGTTGTACATGTTGTCTAGTTAAACAAAATTACAAGAAAAATCTGACACTTTCATAAAAAAAATCTACTGATTTTCTATTGAAACTCTATAAGTCCATTGGAGTTCTGTGAACATTCTGTAAAATAATTTGATTGGTTTTTTGCGTCGTCTCTACTGAAGTCATATTTTTCAAATAGGACCCAATGGCGAGCATTGTAATTAGATGAGTCACATAATACTTTTATTGTCGTGTGACATGAATGAAGTTCATACAGAATATTTGAGCAACAATTTTTTTCTTGAGATATTAACAGAAATTTTGATTAATGAATAAATTTCAAAATGGATCTTCTCCAAATTCTCTCCTTTAATTTTTTATAATTAAGAAGTAAAAAATAGAGATCATATTAAAAGAACACTTTGAAAAAAAAAACGTTGAAATAGTATATTTCGTAACGAGTGTATTTTTTCACGAGTTACGAACAATATTTTTCATCACAATGTGGAGGAAATTGGACTTTTAGGCACGCGGAGCGTGCCTAAAAATAATTTTCATCACGCTGTGACGAAAAGTGAACTTTTCGGCATGCTCCGCGTGAAGAGTTCGGGGTGAAAAGTTCAATTCCGCCACATTGTGATGAAAAATATTGTTCGTAACTCGTGACAAAATGTTTTTTAGCTCGTGGGATTATATCACTCGCCTTCGGCTCGTGATATAAACCTCCCACTAGCCAAAAAACACTTTTTTGCACTAGTTACGAAATATACTATTTTGCACTCGTTACGAAATATACTATTAAAGTTGACTTATCCATTAAAGAAATTTTTAATTCCTAATTTTGAGTGGCTGTAGACAATTTTAACCGACAAGGTTAAAATTGTCGGTTAAAATTTAAAAAATTTCCATTTTTTCTCTTGAAAAACGAAAAAGTATTCTCCCCGTGTTGAATCACCCCTTAAATCGCTAATTTAGATCATTCTGAGTGACTAACCAGCAGTCGGTAGTGGATGAGTTCCGCTCTTAGTGTCCGTACTATTTTCCCCCAAAACTTCTTTAATTTGAAAACTCCATTTGGCGATAGTGTCCTCGATGTTGGACTTCAACTCATAATCCACCCGATCACTCGTTAAATTCTCAACTTGAAAAAGTTTTTCAATTCCTATTGGCATTGATAAGAACGTCTCTCCCCTCATATTTCCTTGAAGCTGGTGAATATCGACTCGGTGAAAATAAATTCAATTATACAACAGGATTGGTAAAAGTGTATCTAGCTCTCGGGAATAGTCGAGTGACGGTGACAATGACGGGAGAAACGGAAATTGAATAGATGAAATAAGAGATTCGAGGGAAATATAAGTTGGGTAATGATAAGGAGCGAGGAGAAATGGATAAAAGCGATATTTTCGTGCACCTGTCGACGGTATTTTCGACGAAACTGTATTTCACTTTATTTTAAACAATTGGGAAATTCTTTCTCTCGCCATATAGCTAATTAATTCTGTATTCCGGATCGTATTTTTACACATCATTTTCTTCCGTCGTATATCATTCATCGCTTTATATTATTTTGTTCAATTGAATTGTCTTTCTGCTTTAATCAGTTGGGTTAGATTTTTTTCCAACACTGGGCTTCGGCGAGTGCTACACACCTCCCACGCGCCAAAAAACATTTTTACACACTTTATCGAAATTTACTACTATGAAATTTCTGGAAATTTTCACAGAACACCAAAAAATATATACTTGATTCTAGTATATTTTATACTCGACTGAGGGATGAGTGTTTCAATTCGAGGATGATAATTTCGTATCAGCCCGGGTTGTAGCAAGCGCTCTCAAATGTAATATAAGGGTCAGACTCTAAGTGTGAGAATATAAGGGTCAAAAAGTGGAGGTTACAAAATGAATGGTTTTTCTATTCAATTTTTTCGCCCGTGTCCATTCTCAGCCAGTACCAAATAATTACCTCATATATACAATTTTTCATATTGTGCACATGTTTCTTCACATCTTTCCTTATAAAAGGCGGCCATCTCCCTTGATTTTCAGAATTAGTGAGCATCGGTGTATAAACCTACCAGGAAGATCATTAAATATTTAATGATCTACTTGAACTTTCCGTAAAGAGTATTACGAGTCTTGAAGTTATACCTCTTCCATGAGCACAGCAAAATCCTCAATTGGTTTGGGAGACATATCACCTGGGATGAGCATCTCCCTGTAATTAACTTCTGTAATATTAACCGGCTGTCGTCTGGCAAAGTAGGACGTCTTGACTTTGGCGCCTGGTTGTATTCCCAGGGCAGGAATGAGTACTCCCGCTGAAGACACTTGCATAGTTAGCATATTTTCTGTCGGTGTGTTGAAAAATTTGAGGATCAGATCCTGAAAACGAGACGATTATTCACTCTCGGGACGGGATATCACGGTTTATCTGTAAATTATTCCTTCGTTTACTTTGGAGTCTTGAGTATTGATCATTTTGCTCCATTTGTCGGGTTTCAAACCACTCGAGCATTTCAAATACTCGAAAATGTAATCCAGACGGGGGTCGTCCTTTTTTTCTTCCTTTTTCTCCGTCATGTTTCAACTCTCAAATTATCACTTTGATTATTTAATCCTCTCTGGGATTTTTTACACGTGTCGAGGGCAGTTTATCACTGACGTTAACCATAAATAAGATTGGATTATGTTTAAATAAACAATTGAAGCGAGGGGTATCGATCGACTCTCGTCGGCGGTTCCAACATTACCAGCTACTGCTTCCGACCGGGTGAAAGCAGCTGCAAGCAGCGAGTATTCACGACAGATGTCAGGCGTATACTCGAATAGAGTCGAATATTCTAAAGCGCTTGGGGGATGAAGAGAATGTAAAAAGTTCAACTGAGTTTGGAGAAATTATCCCATTCAACGCGAAATTTCTTCGTTGAAGATAAAATAACGAAATGCAAAATTTTGATGAAAAATTATTTTTAAAAAAATGATGCGAAATTTATCTGAATCCCTCAAGTACGACGTCTGTCCCGCATGTGGACCCGAGAGCTTGCGCAGTAAAAAATAACTCTAATTTTCACATACTTTTATCACACTCGTGCGCCTCAGATTTATGTCCATTGTCATTCAATATGAATTCATGTGAATGTGATATGATATAATGCTCGTGTACCGATACGTAGAATTAACTGACGTCAATCAAAAATTACTATTCTGTGTGCAAATAATCGTGGACGCCCTAATTTTTGCCGACAAGTCCACCAATTTTCGAGGGCAGTGTCTGAATATTCCACTCGCGTACCTTGAATTGTCGCTGACTAATAATGAGGAACAAGTACATTAGGAGTGATTTCCGGATGAGCTGATTTTTTAGTCACATTGCGTCGGCGTCCGTATGCCATATGGATCATTTCCGTGATTAATAAAAATTCATTATCTTTCGTACTACTGTCGATACCGAAATTCTAAACATTTCCCCATGAAACGGATAAAATTATCAACACAATGCGACTCGATTTTTTTTTCAAATCATTTTTAATGTTTTTCTTCAATAAAACATTACGGAACTGAATTCGATGTCGTATGCGTATTCAAACCTCTCATTTATCGAGATAGTTTTTATCAAAAATTCGGAACTGTTTACCGAACATACTCTATGCATTCCTGGGTCGAATGGCGCAAACGGAATTTCGATTCAACGAATTTCTGATTTGTTATTAACAAATGTCCGACAGTCGTCGATTTTGGCAGCCGTTTGTACTATTGAACAAAGATTGCTCTTATAAATTCAAAAAAAATCCGTAATTGAAGAACTTTCTGGTGAAAGCTCAAGATTATCATTAAATTTTAGTTCATAATTGTTTGATCATCAGAGTAGAAGTTGTTGCAATAGCCAGTATCATGCGAAATTCCAATTCCGAATGAAGGTCCGTGATATTTGAGAAAAATTTGATGATTGTCTCTGTTATAATTGAAAGATAAAGTGGATGCAAAGTAGGAGATTTTTTTTTGATGACATAGCCCTCTTCAAGACAATGAAATATCAACAAGCGATCATTTTCTCAATTTTTCCTCCAATAATTATAAAATAATTCAATAAAAGGGGATTCTTTTGACAAAATTCATCCTCTTAAGACAATGAAATGTCAACAAGTGATCATTTTATCAATTTTTCCTCAAATAATAATTAAATAATCCCATAAAGTCAGAAATCCCCCTCCCATTGTCCCAATAATCGCATTAAAACCCAAAATCCCTCTTTTCCAACTGCCTATTCGATACATTGTCCATAAATTAAGCCCAACAAATGCTCCCAAGGGCCAGTCGACGACACAAAAATATGAAAAATAGGGAAAATCCGTGGGCGTGACCATAATACACATGTCCATCCACCGAATTCATAACAATGCATCCTCACTCAGGGGATGCAGGGGATTTTCCAGCATTTATCATCTGATTTTCATACCCAGCAATGCAAAATTTGATGCGCCATTCCAATTCTGAATGAAGTTCCGCTATATCTGGAAGGTAAAGCGAATAAGAAGTAGCAGAAGATTCTTTTGATGAAATTCTTGCCTTTAAAGACAACAAAATGTCAAAAAGTGATCATTTTATCAATTTATTCCTCCAATAATTATTAAATAACTCAGCAGAAGATTTTTTTGATGAAATTCTTGCCCTTAAAGACAACGAAAGGTCAAAAAGTGATCATTTTATCAATTTATTCCTCCAATAATTATTAAATAACTCAGCAGAAGATTTTTTTGATGAAATTCTTCCTCTTAAAGACAACAAAATGTCAACAAGTGATCATTTTATCAATTTATTTCTCCAATAATTATTAAATAACTCAGCAGAAGATTTTTTTGATGAAATTCTTTCCCTTAAAGACAACAAAATGTCAAAAAGTGATCATTTTATCAATTTATTCCTCCAATAATTATTAAATAACTCAGCAGAAGATTTTTTTGATGAAATTCTTGCCCTTAAAGACAACGAAATGTCAAAAAGTGATCATTTTATCAATTTATTCCTCCAATAATTATTAAATAACTCAGCAGAAGATTTTTTTGATGAAATTCTTGCCCTTAAAGACAACGAAATGTCAAAAAGTGATCATTTTATCAATTTATTCCTCCAATAATTATTAAATAACTCAGCAGAAGATTTTTTTGATGAAATTCTTGCCCTTAAAGACAACGAAATGTCAAAAAGTGATCATTTTATCAATTTATTCCTCCAATAATTATTAAATAACTCAGCAGAAGATTTTTTTGATGAAATTCTTGCCCTTAAAGACAACGAAATGTCAAAAAGTGATCATTTTATCAATTTATTCCTCCAATAATTATTAAATAACTCAGCAGAAGATTTTTTTGATGAAATTCTTGCCCTTAAAGACAACGAAATGTCAAAAAGTGATCATTTTATCAATTTATTCCTCCAATAATTATTAAATAACTCAGCAGAAGATTTTTTTGATGAAATTCTTGCCCTTAAAGACAACGAAATGTCAAAAAGTGATCATTTTATCAATTTATTCCTCCAATAATTATTAAATAACTCAGCAGAAGATTTTTTTGATGAAATTCATCTCCTTAAAGACGACGAAATGTCAAAAAGTGATCCTTCATCAACTTTTCCTCAAACAATCATCAAATAATCCCATAACGTCAAAAATCCCCCTCCCATTGTCCCAATAATCTCATTAAAATCCAAAATCCCTCTCTTCCAACCGACAATTCGACACACTGTCCATAAATTAATCCCCCCAAGGGCCAGTCGACGACACAAAAATATGAAAAATAGGAAAAATCCGTGGGCGTGACCCTAATACACACGTCCATCCACCAAAATCACAACAAAGCATCGACACCAAGAGAACCATTCCCCAAAAAAGGTGGCGCACCGGTTAAATTTATACTACTCCGATGCATCGGCAGCAGCAAAATATCGTTGTGAATTCATTTGAAGGATTTTCAATGTTGATCCCACGAGACTGTCCCCCTCGTTGGAATTGTGTTCGGGGGCGAGTCTCGTTTTCTTGTGTACGCTTCCTTTACCTGAGCGGCATTGGGTGTCCCTTTGGCAAGGCACCCACGGTTTGAATAGGGAACGTCGTTTCGACAAGGGCTGGTTTAATTCTCTCTCTCCATCTCCATCTCCCTCTCCCTCACCCCCCCGCCCCTCTTTCTCTCTCTCTCAACCCCCACCCCTCGGCCAAACACAGGATTTTGTGGACTTCGGCCGTATGGTGGCGCACTCCTGCGACTGTGCGGTGAGAGCAGCTCCCCTGAAATGCCTCCACCCGTCAGTCGAGAGCAGTCAGTGCGAGTCGAGCTTGCCGCCAGTGCGTATGGTCTCCCAAAATCAGTAGTCGTGTAATACGCACTGCGCTATTATGTTCTCCCAAAGAGACAAAACGTTCATAACACCGTGAAATAACCACTAAGTTCACCAAGTGGGTGCTAAGTTACAATAAGTGATTGAAAACCGATAATTCCGCTGTTTTCAATTCCCTGAAAACAATTATCGCAGTTACCCGGGGAATACGAGCCAGCAATAGTATAAACACGAAGGATACATGTGTTATTGATAAAGTGCTTGTTACACATGTGGATTAGCCGTGAAAGAGTTTTGAAAAAATGACCGAGTGCACATTTATGTGATAAAGGGTGTTTCAAATTTTTAGTTTTCCTTTTCATTTTTTTTTTACCATTAAATTTCGCCCTGTGGTTCGGTAAAAGCCAATTGAACGAGAGCAACGGGATTATCGAAAATGGCTGTGAGATGCTGTGTACCAGGGATGTATGTGATAAGCGCGGGTTTGTTGTGCCTCATCGCGGGGTTCGGCGGTGTTCGGGGATCGTGTCACTGGTCGTCCGACGGCAATGAGACCCGCTCGGCGGTGTGCACCCTGAGAACACTGGAGCCATCGGGTGTTGCTGCACTCCTGCCACCCCTTGACGGTGCATTTAGATTGCGCCTCGAGTGCAGCAATGTGCACCATTTCGAGAGCATAATATCCGGCGAGAGTTGGCACCGTTTGAGTGGCCTCCACGAATTATTCATTGACAATTGCAAAGTCCTGAGAATACCGGAGGCGGCATTTCAGCCGTTCGGTGAATTAAAAAAATTGACATTGCGGACGAAAAATTCCGAGTGGAGTATCGGTAGGAATTTGGAGCTCGCTCCCGAGGCACTCGCTGGCCTGCGCGAGCTTCAGACGCTCGAAATAGCTGATAGCAATCTCCGAATACTACCGAGGAATGTTCTCTGCAGTCTCAACAATCTCCAAATTCTCAATCTTACTGGAAATCAATTTAGGGAGATGAGCGAGGTTGGATTAGCCGATGCACGAGCCAATCGCGCCGATTGTCACGCCGATATACGTATACTGGATCTGTCGCACAATGAGATTAGGAATTTACCGGAGGACAGTCCATTGTCGGGTCTCCGACAACTCCAGGAGCTCTACCTCCAGCACAATGGAATCGACGAAATAGCTAGTGATGCACTGACAGGACTCACTAGTTTACGTGTATTCAATGTGAGCTACAATTCTTTGGATACACTGCCGGAAGCGCTGTTCGCCTCAACGCGGGATCTCAGGGAGATCCATCTGCAGCGAAATGAGTTGAGAAATTTGCCCCGGGGTATATTCACTCGTTTGGAGCAGCTACTTGTGCTCAATCTCGCTGGCAATCGTTTGGGCAGCGATACTGTCGATGAAATGTCCTTTCTGGGACTGATAAGGCTCATTGTTCTCGACTTATCGTACAATTCATTGTCCCGCATCGACGCGCGAATGTTCAAGGATCTGTTCTTTCTTCAAATCCTGGATTTGCGTAATAATTCAATTACACACATTGAGAGTAATGCATTCTTGCCTCTGTACAATCTTCACACACTGGAGCTCTCGGAGAATCGTCTGCACTCGATTGGTCCGCAGTTGTTCAATGGATTATTCGTGCTCAATCGTCTGACACTGTCTGGAAATTTGATCGTTACCCTGGATCCTCTGGCATTCAGAAATTGCTCGGACCTGAAGGAACTCGACCTGAGCGGTAATGAATTGACAGCGGTCCCGGAGGCCCTCCGTGACCTCACCTTTCTGAAAACTCTGGATCTTGGGGAGAACAAGATAACAGAGTTTCACAATGGCTCCTTCAAAAATCTCAATCAACTTACGGGTCTCAGACTCATCGGAAACGAGATTGGTAATCTCTCTCGTGGAATGCTGTGGGATCTACCCAATCTTCAAATACTGAATCTGGCTAGAAACAAGGTTCAGCACGTTGAGAGAGAGGCCTTCGAGCGTAATATGCGTCTCGAGGCCATACGCCTGGATGGAAATTTCTTGTCCGATATTAATGGAATATTCGCGAGCATAACCAGCCTTCTACTCCTGAATTTATCGGAAAATCATATAGAGTGGTTCGATTACGCCTTCATCCCCAGTAATTTAAAATGGCTGGATATACACGGAAATTTCATCGAGAGCCTCGGAAATTACTATCAAATACGCGATCTCAAAGTGCGAACACTCGACGCAAGTCACAACCGAATAACTGAACTTACACCATTGTCAGTGCCTGATAGTGTTGAACTGTTGTTCATTAATAATAATTACATCAGTAATGTTCATGCCAATACATTCGCCGGTAAAATTAATCTGACTCGTGTTGATATGTACGCCAATATGATTGAAACAATGGAACTTGCTGCACTAAGGCTGACACCAGTGCCGGAGGGTAAGTTCCTCCCCGAATTCTACATCGGTGGTAATCCTTTTAATTGCAATTGCTCGATGGATTGGCTGCCAGTGATAAACAACATGAGTGCACTGCGACAGCATCCACGTGTTATGGACCTTGACAATGCGATGTGCCGGATATCCGGTCCCCGCGGTACAGCCATGGTGCCAGCATCAATGGCAAGACCGGAACAATTTCTGTGCCGTTACGAGGCGCACTGTTTTGCCCTGTGTCACTGCTGTGACTTCGATGCATGTGATTGTGAAATGACATGTCCATCAAATTGCAAGTGTTATCACGATCAAACGTGGAATACAAATGTTGTTGATTGCTCGGGCTTAGCTACCCAGGATATACCCCGTAAAATCCCGATGGACGCTACCGAAGTGTATTTGGACGGCAATGACTTTCGCGAATTGCAAAATCATGTGTTCATTGGACGTAAAAATATGCGCGTACTGTATGTGAATGCAAGTGGTATTGAATCAATCCAAAATCGAACATTCAATGGCCTAAATAATCTCCAAACTCTTCATCTCGAGGATAACAAGATTCACGAGCTCAAGGGCTTTGAATTCGAGCATTTGGTTCACCTGCGTGAACTCTATCTGCAGAACAATCTCATTGGTTTCATTGGCAATCTCACTCTACTGCCACTGAGATCACTGGAGATATTACGACTCAATGGAAATCGTCTAGTCACGTTTCCGGTTTGGCAAGTCACCCTTAACACGCGTCTTGTTGAGTTGTCACTCGGTGGTAATCCGTGGTCATGTAGGTGTAAATTTCTCCAAGAACTGTCTGCCTGGGTGTCTGATAATGCCCACAAGGTTATAGATGCCAGTGATGTATGGTGTTATAACAATGAAGCTAGGCCAGCTTATCGTCGTCGTCTCAATGTCAATGAGACAGCTTGCTCGGATTACTTTGCTCAAGGCGGAGTCATTGAGAGCATAATGGTATCCGATTACCTGCCCATGGTTGCAGCAACTCTCTCAGCTGTACTGCTACTCCTTGTAATTACGGTGCTGGCCTTTATATTTCGCGAGCCCGTACGTACATGGGCGTATTCGCGTTACGGCGTCAGATTTTGGGCGAAAACAGCCCAACCAGAGGATAAAGAGCGCCTGTACGACGGATACTTCTGCTACAGTCCCAAGGACGAGGACTTTGTATTGCACTCGTTGGCTGTTGAATTGGAGCATGGACCCAGTGGTTTACGTTTGTGCCTTCATCATCGTGATCTACCTTGTCTACGAGCTGCTGCACCAGTTGTACTGGAAGCTGCTGAGGCATCAAAACGAGTTGTCATTGTACTGACGAGAAATTTCTTGCAAACTGAGTGGTCGCGTTTTGAGTTTCGTGCTGCTGTACACGAAGCCCTGAGGGGTCGGCCTGGTCAGCTGGTTGTCGTGCAGGCTGGCCCTGTCACACCTGAGGCGGAAGCTGATCCAGAACTGAGGCCTTATTTGCGTACAGCAACAACACTGAGATGGGGTGAAAAACGCTTTTGGGAGAGATTGAGATTTGCAATGCCACCTGGTGATGCACTGAGACGAAAATCATCGTCATTGTACAGGAGAAATGTTAATACGTATACGTTGGAGGGTAGACCGGAGAAGGAGACGTCGACGTTGCGTGTACATGGCCACATACCTGGACATCATCATCCATTGTTCAAGGATGCACCGGAATTGTTACAAGCACCACCGGCATACTCAAGTACAGCTACACTCGGTCATAATAATCAAGTTAGGCTCGAGCCAGGTGGTAGAGATACCCCGGTGAGCTCGGCGGCAAGTCCAAGCCCGAGGCTCACGATGAATCGTGCCTACCAGGAAGGACCATTGGATGCTATCAATGAGAGTAGAAGACCATTATCTGAGCACATTTACTCTTCCATTGACTCGGATTATTCGACACTCGAGAGAAATGCCTGGAGACAACAGCAACCACCACCACCTGGTCAAGCGTATCTTGTGTAACTTCCAGGGGGAATTTTGCGTGAACAAGTACTCAAGTTTCTTCGGCAAAGGTTGTGTGCTCCCTCGGACTGTTATCTAGTGTAGTGCGAGGATATGCATCGAGACGATGATAATGCCCAATGCAGTGCTAATGTGCGATGGAATACTCGTCGTTCACACCGACGTCTAGTCAAAGGGAATTGTCTTGGCTCGTGACGTCACAGGTGGATAATTTCGTTGTTACGAGGGATGGTCGGAGGCTAGTGGTAGTGAACGTCTTGGCCTCTGACGTTTGTGGAAAAAACCAGTGAATTGTGACGGTTGTGTGCTCCCTCTCCACTAATCATTATAGGTATTCACCCTTCTCCCCCATTTGCATTCGCTCTCTTCCACTTTGTCTTTTGTGATATTGTTTGTTACTGTAACTTTTTTTATTTCCATCTTTTGTATTGCAGAGTTCGACTGGAATTTTGTAACCAGTGGAGTAGAAATATTGTGCTCAATAATTGAAAGATATTTTGCTTTGAGGGCCTTTTATTGGGTGAGAAAGGGGTAATTAATTCGTATTCTTTCTTTTCGTTAGCGTCAAAGGACTGATTCTTTTGTACTCATTAATTAAATATCTTTCATTAAAAACGTAGCGGCGTAATATTGGTTTCATAAGCTCGCTCTTGCGTTTTTTGAAATTGAAATTAGCCATCAAAGAGATAAGGAAATCCCGCGGATTTCCATTGAATATCAATGAGCTGATTTTTTTTTTATCAATCTTTTTTTACTGCAAAGCAAAGGAAAATCGTAGACGCGTTATAGTTCTATCGTTCGCCCGTCCTCAATTAAGAAAAGTATAATTTGTTCTGTTTTTTTAATTCCTTTTTTGTAACATTGCATTGTAAAGTACCGATGGCCTACCTCGCCAATGACTAAATAACTTAAAGAAACAAAACATGATATTATTTACTTAATTAATTATTCGCTTAACGAAATAGTCATGGGTGGGGGCTTACGAGAGCACCCAGCGTGGCTCGGCTGTAAATATTTACTCTTCTATATATAATATATATACGAAAAAACTGTATAAATTTTCAGATAAAATTACGTTCGTAATGAGACGAGTGCAACTGAATGAGAGCAGTAGTGAGAGAAAATACTGATGAAGAAAAAAAATGAGACCCGAGTTAGGGAAAAAAACTAATGAGAATGTAGTTAGGCAATGTTTTCTAATTTTATATGACTGAATAGCAAGAGAAAGGAGAGACGTGTATGAGAGAGATGTTGTATGATATGTACATATGTAACAAACTTTTCGCCTGATGTAAGATAATACTCGCCATGAAACAAAAAAAAATTATCTGAGAAAAAAATTATCAATTAATGAATAAATGTAAATCAGATTTAAACTCAAAGTAAAGAAAAGAGAGACGACAGAGTGACAAAAATGTTCGAACAAAAATACGTATAAACGCTCTTATACGAATCTAAACTAAACCCTAAATGAAAAAAATGAAAAACCTACGTTGTACATTTGCTATACTTCAATTATTTAAATCATGTGAATAAATTTATAACTTACGTTATCGTTTCAATTTAAATTAAAAACAAAATGCATTGAGTCAATTAATTTGTTCATTCGCCAACACGTAATTACCATATCCCATCACGCATCCTTTAATCCATTCCGGCAATAGAAATGGAGAGAGAGGAGGAAGAGGAGAGAAAAAAACAATAGCCACAAATTATGGGTTATACGTCCGCAAAAGAAAGATGGAGAATGGGGTACATGGGGAAGAGAAAATGGAATTGTAACTCCCTAGTAATTCATCGGATCTACCTCTTGTCCTGTTCTCTCACTCGTCCTCTCCCCCCACCGCCCCCCTCTCTCCCCCTCTTTCTTTTCAAGTGAAAACAATGGAGAGTACATACTCGTGAGTCGACTAATTGGAACTGGCAAGTTGAGACGTCAAATCATTGTTGTCATAATTAATCAGAAAGTTCGATTGGAATTCCGATGGCTGTGAGTTGTGTTTTACACTAGGGGTTGTGCCACACATTCGTATCGTTGATGAGTTGCAGCGGTGACTCCACAACGACCGGCGAACACATTTTTATTCTCATTACAATGGGGAGAATGGGGCCAAAACGATACATCCACACGCATACAAATAATACCTGGGGGTGTCGTGGGGGCGCGGGAGGGGGCGGGGGGTGAGGCAACTGGAGCCCGCGGTGCATCGATCGTAACTCGGCATGCGGTGGTGCGCACGTTCATTATTGAAGTACTCATCCTCCTTCCGCACTTTTTTTTTCACTCTCGCTCTTAACTCTCAACTGCCCTTTCATCGTCTTATGTAACCTTTTGGCCCTGCTGTGTACACAAATAGTGGATCTTCGTGGGTGTTGTCGTTCATGAAATCGGTGGGGATTTCAGGTATTCGGGAATGAGGATTATCACCTTGACACGAGACGATGATTAATTCGTCGGAGGAATTATGTGAGAGAATTGTTGGGGGGGGGGGGTGCAGTGATTGTGGTGGTTGGGAGAGACTTCAATCAGTAACAAATGAAGTAGATATTGTTTATAATATTTATTATAGACGCGTCAAGTGTGTGAATATTTATAAGAATGATTTCAGTAGCGAAGTAGTAGAGCGGTTTAAGTCGACTTATCTCCAAGTTAAGTTTTTGAGCAATATTTCCGAATCTAAAGGAGATGGCGACATTTTCGTAATTACCTTTTTCTCAGGTCTCAATCCGCTCTACCAAAAAGGTTATATAAAAAATTTTGCTGTCTCCCTTAGATTCCGAGATATTCATTGAAAACTGGGAATGAGGATTATCACCTTAACACGAGACGAAGATTAATTCGTCGGAGGAATTATGTGAGAGAATTGTTGGGGGGGGGGGGGGTAGTGATTGTGGTAGTTGGGAGAGACTTCAATCAGTAACAAATGAAGTAGATATTGTTTATAATATTTATTATAGACGCGTCAAGTGTATGAATATTTATAAGAATGATTTCAGTAGCGAAGTAGTAGAACGGTTTAAGTCGACTTATCTCCAAGTTTAGTTTTTGAGGAATATTTCCGAATCTAAAGGAGATGGCGAAATTTTCGTAATTACCTTTTTCTCAGGTCTCAATCCGCTCTACCAAAAAGGTTATATAAAAAATTTTGCTGTCTCCCTTAGATTCCGAGATATTCATTGAAAACTGGGAATGAGGATTATCACCTTAACACGAGACGAAGATTAATTCGTCGGAGGAATTATGTGAGAGAATTGTTGGGGGGGGGGGGTGTAGTGATTGTGGTAGTTGGGAGAGACTTCAATCAGTAACAAATGAAGTAGGGGAGGGTGGGGCAAAACGGCCCCCCTTCAATTGCCAATAACTTGTGAATGACATTGTGAAAATTCCCAGTTTCGACTTCATTTTGAAGATAATTTCTCATTCTTCAAAACGAGCTCTAACTCATCCCAATCGGATTATTGAATCGGAAAATATTGACGATTGAAGGGGGGCCCTTTTGCCCCATCCTCTCCTAGATATTGTTTATAATATTTATTATAGACGCGTCAAGTGTATGAATATTTATAAGAATGATTTCAGTAGCAAAGTAGTAGAACGGTTTAAGTCGACCTATCTCCAAGTTGAATTTTTGAGGAATATTTCCGGATCTAAAGGAGATGGCGAAATTTTCGTAATTACCTTTTTCTCAGGTCTCAATCCGCTCTACCAAAAAGGTTATATAAAAAATTTTGCTATCTCCCTTAGATTTCGAGATATTCATTGAAAACTGGCCAATAGTCAAAATTGACTTGAACCGGTTTAGCACTTCGTTACTGATTTGAATGCGAAATATATACAGAGTGAATATAATACAATGTGATAACCAGTCGGTAGTTCACGGTAGATTGATCGTGATATTCGGAATTACGAATGCCGCACAGAAGGGCAAAGAAGAATACCTTATTCCAATGTATTGAGGAGAAATTAAAATGTATCAAAATAAGATGACGCGTGACGTATGCCGGGCGAGGCCGAGGTGTATCGAAGCCGATCGAGGCTCTGGGAAACGCGTTGTATGTAGTGAGAGGTGTGGAACCATTTTTCTTGGAGTTTTTGCGGCGTTGTTGGAGAGACGAATGCCCACTTTTCGATTTTTGGGGGGAAGAGAAATGATTTGAGGATGGGGACTGGAGAATGGAATTGGGTAAAGCATAGTTGTGGAGTGGGTGGCGTAATGGGGTCAAAAGGGTTCGTTGGAGTGGAGATAAGCCGGAGTTTGGAGTAATGTTGCGGAGGTTTTTAAGGATATCCAAACACTTTGGCTGTTTTTTCTCCAGGGAAATTATTTTCTGCTTTTGTAGGCGAACACCAGAGCTTTCAGTTGAGCCTCGTTTGACACTGAGTTTCCGGACATTTTATAATGATTTTATTAAATGTTTTGTGACGATTTATAAAATAAATTGTTAGAAAATTAAAATCTTGATAATCTTCAAAAAATTGCATATATAATTGCAATCGTAACAAATTAATTCATACTCTGAATTTCACACATTGAATAATTGAAAATGGTTGAATCTATAGTGTGGTCTGTATTAAATTATTGAAGATACTTGGATATCCTTAAAAGCTTTCAATGTTTCGTGTTGCAGCGGTGGAAATGCGATGGTACTGGGCTTCAAAAATTGGGAGTGAAAATCGTGAAATCATAAAGATATCAGTTGTAAATTTTTAATTGTAGTTTCCAACATATTTTAAGTATTCACGATTTTTACTGGCCTTTTACGTTAAATTTTTGAAAAATGGAAATATTTGCAATGAAAAATGTTCACTTGTCGAATTTTTGAGGAAAAAGAAATGGTTTAGAGACGCCGATTGGGGAATGGAACACCTAAAAGCATCATTCTGGAGTGAATGGCGTAATGGGGTCAAAAGTGTTTATTGGAATGGAGATAAGCCGGAGTTTCGGAATAATGCTGCGGAGATTTTCATGAGCTTTTCGTTTTTCGTGGGGCAGCGGTGCTACTGGGTTTCAAAAATTGGGAGGAGAAAGAGTGGAATTAATCTCACTGACAAAGTGCTGGAGCTCGCCTACTCCGTGTCATGGGAAAACTCAATGAAAGAGTTTCATGAATTGAAAATTTTTAGCTGAAGCTTCCAACAAATTTGGAGTGCTCACGATTTTTATTGAATTCCTGTCCACAAATATCCACTTTTCGATTTTTCGAGGGAAAAGAAATGCTCTGGGGATCTCGATTGGAGAGTAGAACCCGTGAAAGCATCATTGTGGAGTAAATGGCGTAATGGGGTCAAAAGTGTTTATTGGAATGGAGATTTTCATAAGCTTCCGGTTTTTCGTGGTGCAGCGGTGGAAATGTGGTGGTACTGGGTTTCAAAAATTGGGAGGGAAAATGGTGGAATGAATCTCATCGACAAATTGCTGGGGCTCTCGTACTCTGTGCCGTGGGAAAATTAAATGGAAGGGTTTTATGGTTTTTATCCTCTGAAAAATTTTAACTGCAGTTTCCAACAAATTTGGAGTGTTCACGATTTTTGTTGAATTATTCAATTTTTATCACTCGAAATTCTTTCACTGAAGTTTCTAGTAGGTTTGGAGTGTTCACAATTTGTATTGAATTTTCACGTGTAATTTGTGACAAACGGAAGTTTTTTTTCGCAATTTTGTGATGTTACAGTGGAATCCTGTTAATTTACGGGAGAAAGTGACAACTGAGTCGAAATATTCTGGTGCCAATCTGTAGTTTTTAGAAGATACTTGAGAAAAACGAAGGGTTTCCCACAATTTCATATTATTACAATGAAATTCAGTTCATTCAGTCAAGGAAATTCAAACGAAATATTTTTGCGTGAAAATTGTTTTCCGTAATTAACTGCAGAAAAATTAATATTATAATTTTATTACATATAAATTTTACATTTCTCAAGCAATGTGACATGAATATTCAGTAGAATTCTCAGATTTAGAAGAGTTTGCCTCAATTTTGAGGATCTCTCAATGAAAAATCCAGTCAAAAATTTTAACCTGTTTATTTCTTAGAACTTCAACTTGACAAATTTCGCGTTTTTTGCACTTTAAAAATTTTTGACTTAAAAATTTTTCAATAAATTTGAAGTATCCGTAATTTTTCTCCAATATTTATGCAGAAAAACACAAGTTTTCTTTCAAATTTCCATATCGCAGTGGCATTCTGTTAAATTCCATGAATAAATTGAGAAGTTGCTCTGAATATTTTATCATAAATCTGTTTGGAGAATTCAACATTAGATCATAAGTACATACAAATTAGACGATTTAAAAACTTTTGTTCATTTATTACCGCTTATTGGTCCAAAGTATCTAATTGACAGGGCAATATAAAGAATAATAAATCAACTTTCAAAATCTTTTCAAACGGTTAAATATCGCGATTCAAATTCAGATCTGCAAAGTTTGAGTCATAAAATCCTAGTAAAATGTCCGGAAACTTAGGGTCGAACGAGGCTCAAATGAAAGCTCTACTGTTCAACTACAAAACTAGATAAGCATTCCACTGGAAAAAAAAATGGTCAAAGGCCTTCAACCCCAGAATAATTCATTCAGGCCTTTCCAGGTGAA